TGTGAGATTCTCAAAGAAGGCAATAAGAGAGGAAATATTTCAAAGAGCAAAAGATGTGAATAAACCAGGAAGATGGTTGGCATATAAATTGAAAAAAAAGAAAGAAAAAAAACCTGATACATCAACTAGTAGGTGAGAAATGCACTCTTTATTACCAAAATGAAGATAAAAAAATAATCCAAGAGAATTATGGAAAACTGTATGACCAGGAGAAAATTTCAAAAAATAGAAAAAAAACAATATTTGGAAAAATCTGAACTTCCTAAAGTACCCGAAACAGTAAAGGCTGCATTGAACGAACAAATAACTATGATGGAATTGACAGAAGCAATTAAGAGACAAAATAATAATAAAACGCCAGTGCCAGATGGGTTACCAGCAGAATTGTATAAACATTTATAAGATACATTAGTCCCAATTATGTTGGAAGTTTATAATGAAGTTCTGTTAGAAGCGAAAGTACCAAATCGATAGAAGCAAATATTACTCTTATCAGATTTAATGCAGATTTAAAAAAACTACAGACCAATATCTTTATTGAATTAGGACTATAAAATATATGCTTCAATGATAGCAGAGATTAAAAATTAAAAAGATTCATTCATTTTTGAATGAATTTATACATGTAGATCAGAATGAAATTCTGTCAAAGAGGCAGATTAAAAACAACATGAGAATGATTTTAAACACATTGGAATATTATGAAGCACATCCTGGAAAACAAATGGCATTGAGTTTTTTAGATACACAGAAAACATTTGATAATATCAATTGGCAATTTGTGTTATTATAATTAAAATTCATGGATTTTGGGGAGAGATTTATTAATATGATTAAGGCAATATATCACAAACAAACAGCTAAGATGATGGTAAATGGGGACATGACAGAGAATGTTAATATAAAAAAGGCACAAGACAAGGATGACCATTATCCCGCTTACTATTTATACAGACTTTGGAAGTGCTAATTATATTAGACAAGACAAAGAAATAAAAGGAATGGAAATAAAAAAAGAGAAATACAAGTTACAGGCATTTGTGGACGATTTGGTTTTTATTTTAGAAGATCCACAAGAAACTGGATCTGAGTTAATTTAAAAAACAGAAGAATATGGTGAAATCGCAAGACTGAAAACAAACAAAGAAAAGACTAAAATACTAGTTAAAAATCTTACAGATACACAGAAAAGAGAGCTAATGAAAAGAATTGACATAAAGATAGTCAAGAAAGTAAAGTACCTAGGGATACAATTAACAGCAAAATGTGCAATGATTATAGAGGACAATTATACTAAGCTGATGTAACAAATCAAATCAGATTTGGAGAAATGGAAAAACTTGCAACTGTTGTTGCCAGGAAGAATAGCTAAAAATGAATATTTTGCCAGGGCTATTATACTTATTTCAAACAATTCCAATAAAACTGGGGGGGGGGGGATATTTTGAAGAACTAAACAAAATAATATGAAGATATATTTGGCTACCATGTTTCTCCAAAAAGATGACCCACCTTGAAAAGAAGGGCTATCATGTTTTTGAGCACATGTGATCAAATTAAGCCCCACCTACAAAATTAGCCCCAATTAAGATCCCACCCACCCCAAGGTGCAGGCACACAGGTAAAAAATAAGCTAGAATGGGGTGGGGTGGGGTGGAGCTGCTCTACTTACCATGCCTCGTACACCCCAACACCTGCCTCATCTTATTCTGTGGCTGCCACTCGCATGCATTGCCCTGGCCTCCATTTTGCCTTCAGATTATTGACTCACTTCACGGCGGTGGCACCAACAGCCCCACCCAACAGGAGCTCATTGCTGGTCCACTTCTTCTGCAGCCACTTGCCGCCACTTGCACATATCGCCCTGGCCTCTGTTTTGCCTTCAGATGCCTTCCGGAAAGCCCTCTGCAGCCGATAACAGAGCTCCGGATCGATTGGAAAAATATGTCATACTTCATTTAACCCTCCAAGGAAAAATTGAAGACAAATGAGGTCCAGGTAGAACATCATGGCTTCAAAATCAACAGCACTTTTTCATGCAACTGTTGATAAAAATAGGATCACCAACATGATTGCCAACGTCCGATGACAGATATGGCCCAAGAAGAGTTCCCAGTTCCAAGCACGGTCTTGTTTTCATAAGACCAATTCCTTTTTTTTTCTCATAGAATTGGAACTGATGTTTGATATTCTCCAATAGAAATACATATAAGCTGATAGGGAGTATACCTTTTTTAAAGAGCTAAGTAGAAATGTTGATCAATTGTTTTTTTTTTCCAGAATAGCAATTACTGCACAATCAGTAATGGCCATATGAAATCTGAACTATTATAAAAGTTCTGTGACTCAGAAGTTGCCTTACAGATTGAAAATACCATTAAAGAATCAGGAAAATAATGAAATAATAAAATTATTAGATCTAACTTTATGGTTATACATGGTTGAAACAACAAATGTGAAGGAAATAAAATGCATTATATTTTGAAATTGTAACATCTGTAATATCTTCTCTTAAAACAATTGGCTTTATGTTAAAGCTCAAATCTTAGAAAACTCATATTTCTAATTTTACTAAGTAAGCACTCATTAAAGACTTAATAGAATATTACTTACATTTTTATATATTGCTGATAGATCAATTTACTTATTTAAATATAACAGAAAACATTAAGTAAATATAGTATAGGTAGTCCTTGAACACAATTGAGACCAGAATTTCTGTTGTTAAACAAGAAAGTTGTTCTGTAAATTTGCCCCATTTTACAACCTTTTTGCCACAGTTGTTAAGTGAATCACTGCAGTTGTTAAGTTAGTAACATGGTTGTTAAGTGAATTTGGCTTCCTCATTGACTTGTGAGAAGGTCGCAAAAGATGATCACATGACCGTGGGTCACAGCAATCTTCATAAATACGAGCCAGCTGCCAAACATTCAAACTTTAATCACATGACCATGAAGATGCTGCAATGGTCATAATGTGAAAAACGGTCATGGGACACTTTTTTCAGTGCTATTGTAACTTTGAACGATCACTAAACAAATGGTTGTAAGTCAAGGAAAACCTGTAGCTGGATTCAAAGAAGGTTATTTCTCTTTATTGTCTTTAACCTCTTAATTTGAATTTATTACATTGCACTTATCAACAAGTGTTAACAGGACACCAGTTGCATACTAAACCTGAGTTAATTCTATCCAATGGTTTGCCTTGCCTTTCAGGCCAGCCAAAGGATGTAGAACAAATCTTTAATCCTCTGCTACTCAGAGAAACAGGAAAACCTATCACATGAATTCCCTTAGATAAGCTACTTTAGCAGAGAAAATTCATTTAAAAAACCCAGTTCTTTGGCTTTTATTGCAATCTGGTTCTGCTAGGAATATATATAGTCCATAGATATATTTTCAACAAAGGATAGTAACAACAATCTCCCCCTTTTTTTTCTTTTTTGCTAGTATATCCTAAACCAGTCACAACAGAAATTATTGCAGGTATGCATATTAAGAAAAAAAAGCTATATTTTATGCTGAACATGCTTCAAAGAGGAGAGAACAGTAGAGGGAATTTAAAGAATGCAAAATACTTGGGAGAATTTTTATTGTTGCAAGATTGAATCTGGGTCGGTCACCAGGACCAGAGATTTACTCTTCCAAGCTTTCGGACTCATTCTGGAGCCCATCTTCAGGGAACTTCTCTCACTGGAATACGTGCTTTGGGCTATTCTGTGAATCATATTTATGTGATGTCTTCCTATTGGCAGATTGGTGTAGTGATGGTTGGTGTATTGACACCAATCAGCTGATAGGAAAGCGCCATATAAACACAAATAGCCAGAATAGTCCAAAACACGTATTCCAGTAGAGAAGTTCCCTGAAGATGGGCTCCAGCATGAGTCTGAAAGCTCAGAAGAGTAAATATCTGGTGACCAACCAAGATGTAATCTTGCAACTTTTATTGTCTTTGAAAAATCAAAACAGGTATTCAACAAATATTTCTCTCTTTGACTTATTAAAGACATACACAGAGAACGATCTTGAATTTTCATCTCACTCTTTTGCATTTTCAATATAATTTCATGCTTCCTACATCAATTCCTTTCAATGAGACACAGGCTAAGCAAGATGTCCATCCTAATCATTTACTAGTATTATTTAGACAAGCAAATGAACATTCATACCATACCATTTTAACCACAAGATAAAAAATAAAGCTAATTCTTTTTAAGTAAAGCACCATACACAGCTCCCCACCACAAATTGTATATAAATGCATCCTTTGTCCTTTCTGATATAATTGATGGTTCCCTTCTTGAAACAGATACTTATTAACTAATGCAGTATAACCTGTGGCCCTCAGCTCACATCATGCAGCCCCCAAAACTTGGCAGAAAAGCTGATAGCCAGCAAATGGATTGTTTTTTCTTTCTGCATCTTGGAAAGTCCCTTCTTGAAAGAGTTGGATTGTCTGCAATTGTCCCTGTAAAGTAATTATGTTTGTATTTCTGATCCTGCCACATAACATGGCAAATACTTGAAAATGAATTAAAGCCAGGATATTTGTTGAGCGAAATGAGCCAATAATAACTAAAAGCAGAACTGTCATGGTTTTTCAAGATACCTTCTTTGGTATAAAGAAATGCACTGGTCTTTTGAGGGAATCCAAAATGTTTTGAGCTTTTTTTAGTTCAGTTGCATTCTACATTTCCAGGGTACAGACATACTTTTTTTTTCTTATGGAAAGAGTACCAGTTGTGGAGATATTCCTTTATCCCAGTACCCTTAAAACATTTTAAATAACCATACACAAAACTTCCAAATTTAAAAAAACACAAATTTTAAAAAGTATCTTTTCATGTACTCCATGGTACTTATTCTTAGCCTTATTGTTTCAGAAATAAAAAGCTGAATGCATTCCACATCTATTTTCATCAAGGGATAATCTCTAGCCTAATTTAGGGTAAGTGGAAATATAAAAGTATATATAACATGAGTCAAACATGGACTAACCTTTACAAAAGCTAAGTAGTTTGTGCATTGTTTCTGCATATAGGAAAGCTGCACTTGTTCTGTGATCTGGCCCGTTGCTTCTCCAGAAGAGATGAAGTAAACCCTGATTGGGTATCCTTTTTCTTTCTTTGCCACATCAGATGTCAAATTATAATTCAAATCTAGACAAAAAAAAAATCATAACATAGATTATTTTCTACTGTTAATATATATCACAGGCTTTTTATAATCACTATTGTGATTTAGGATTATTATGAAACTTCAATCTATTTAGAGATAAGTCACTTCTGTACCAAGTTCACTTCTATGTCCTAGTAACAAATCCCAATTTCAGAAGAACATTTGCAAATCTGGATAAATGCCAACATTCCAGAGCAAACCAGCACAATCGTAAATGCAGCTAATCAGCCATACAAGAGGTCCTCCTTAGTGCTTCAGATTCCTAGTTATATGGATAATAAGAACTGAGAAGTGCAAGTGTTGTGAACTAAAGAAATGTAATTAATAAAGATTCATTTGCCTAGCAGGATCGTAATCCTGCACGTCCTATTGGCCCATATAATGGCAAGTTATGATTGGTTCATTCCGAGCAATCTGACTGGCTGTTGGCGGGCCGCGCCAAGATTCAAACGCTATAACACTATCCATTGGTTATACGGATAGCAGCTTACGCTATAAAAGAGTGACTGCTAGCCGGGGGTTTTTGTCTCTGTTATGCTTATGAATAAAGAGCTGAAGTTCAAGGTTGACAGTCTGGTCTCCGTTCATTAAGCCCATGCCTCAAACTTAACACTGACGACGAAGGTGGGATACGGAGACAAAAAAGCTGACTAAACCCTACAGAGCACCAACCGAAGCACATGGCTGAGAGCGCATCTACATCGGCAGGATGTCAGGTGGCGCTATACCACCCACTCCTTTTGACCCGGAAAGGGAAGACTGGGAGTCGTATATGGATCGGTTTCAAATGTTTCTAGAAACCAACAATTTGAAAGATGCAACACCCGGAAAGAAGCGGGCTGGCCTCAAGGTGAAAAAAAATAAGTGTCAACTGTGTACTGAGAGGGTGGAGTTTCTTGGGTATCTCCTCAATAAACAAGGGATTCACCCCACCGAGACCAAACTCAAAGCAATTAAAAACGCCCCAAGACCTAAAAGTAAGGCTGATCTCCAGGCCTTCTTGGGACTCATTAATTTTTACAACATCTTCTTGCCTCACAAGGCAACAGTAGCTGAACCTTTACATCGACTTCTCGACAAGAAAGCTATTTGGGTTTGGGGTCACAAAGAAGAGCGCTCTTTCAGAAAGGTGAAGGACTTATTAACCTCCGACGCTGTGCTAATGCAGTACAACGAGACTTTGCCGTTAAATATTACGTCTGACGCGTCACCGTTTGGGGTTGGAGCCATTTTGAGCCACGTGTTACCAAACGGGAATGAGGCTCCGATTGCATACTTTTCCCGCAAGTTATCAAAGGCTGAATGAAACTATAGCCAACTTGACAAAGAGGCTCTTGCTATTGTATCGGCCGTGAAGCGGTTTCACGAATATGTTTACGGGCGGCCCTTTACTCTAGTTACAGACCACAAGCCTTTACTTGGCATTTTAGCAGGGGATAATGACTCGCCTAGAATGACTCGCTGGTCAGAATTCCTAGCAGCCTACAACTACGTACTGCAGCATCGCCCGGGGAAAGCCATTCCCCACGCTGACGCTTTGAGCCGTTCCCCACTTCCGGAAACCGTCAGCGACCCAGCTCCGACCCTCACTACGCTGCAAATTGAAACCCTCAACTCGCCGCCACTAACGGCAAGGGATATCGCCGCCGACACAAAACGGGACGCTATCCTCGCAAGAGTTCTCAGTTGGGTCGAACGCGGGTGGCCAGTCGAAGAAACCCCCGCCACTTTTGCACCGTTCAAACACCGGCAAACGGAACTATTTTCCCAGAAGGGCTGCATCCTATGGGGAGATAGAGTCGTCGTACCAGAGAGACTACAGCGACTCGTGTTGCAAACCCTGCACGAAGGACATCCGGGCATCGTCCGCATGAAGGCTCTCGCTCGAAGCTACGCGTGGTGGCCAGGCATCGATAAACAAATTGAAGCCTGGGTAACCACGTGTAGAAACTGCCAAGAAGCCAGCAACGCCCCACCGAGAGCGATTCCCACCGAATGGGAAACTCCTCGAGGCCCGTGGTCCCGAATCCACATTGATTTCGCGGGACCCACTAAAGGACACACTTTTCTCCTAACCGTGGATGCTTACTCCAACTGGCTCGAAATCCACAAGATGAAAAGCACGACTACTGACTCCGTTATTAAAAAACTAGATAGATTATTTGCAACACACGGTTCCCGGACGTTCTAGTTTCCGACAACGGACCCCAGTTTACTGCTCTCACCTTCGAACAATACTTGGCGGACCGGGGTATCCGCCATGCCTTGACTTCGCCGGCTCACCCTGCGGCAAACGGTAGAGCAGAACGGATGGTCCAATTTGTTAAAAGGACACTACAAAAAATGGATCCGGGGGACATCGACGCTAGATTGAACAAAATACTCTTACTACAACACATTACCCCCCACAGTGTCGCCAACAAGACCCCAGCCGAACTTTTAATGGGGCGGAAGCTTCGCTCCTACCTCGACCGATTACACCCGGCTTATTTGCCAGAGAAACCTTGTGGATCCAGCAGAACGTATCGCCAATTCAAGGTAGGCGACTTGGTCTACGCCAAAAACCTTTCCGGCGAACCGTTGTGGGTCCCAGCCACCGTAGTCTACCTCACTGGCCCTAGATCTTACCGCCTTAAGACGACAGACGGCAAGATGTGGAAACGCCACATAGATCAACTTCGATCTCGCTTACAACCAAATATCCGCAACCCCTCCGACTTCCAAACTCAAGGGGGAGGGAATACCGAGGGGGACGAAGACCGTATAGACGACGACGTAATCGAGGACAGAGGGCCGCTAAACCGAGTACTCACGCCACCCGAAGAAGGTCCGGGATTGGGGGCATCCTCCCCGCAGAGGAACACCGTAGTGGAAACATGCCCGCCCGATCCAGGAATGGACTTAAGGGACCCTGATAGTGCCGAAAACAGCACCGCGGAATCAACCCCGGGCGAAGACGAGCCTTGCGTTCCACCGGAACCGAACTTTAAACAAAAACCGGTGGAACAGCGAAAATCAAATAGGCAGGTAAAACGACCTGCACACCACGGCCGTCAAACAAAACCCAGGGGGGAGGGGTGTTGTGAACTAAAGAAATGTAATTAATAAAGATTCATTTGCCTAGCAGGATCGTAATCCTGCATGTCCTATTGGCCCATATAATGGCAAGTTATGATTGGTTCATTCCGAGCAATCTGACTGGCTGTTGGCGGGCCGCGCCAAGATTCAAACGCTATAACACTATCCATTGGTTATCCGGATAGCAGCTTACGCTATAAAAGAGTGACTGCTAGCCGGGGGTTTTTGTCTCTGTTATGCTTGTGAATAAAGAGCTGAAGTTCAAGGTTGACAGTCTGGTCTCCGTTCATTAAGCTCATGCCTCAAACTTAACAGCAAGTTTTATTCCTCTTACTCAATATTAACTTCTTACGCACTCATTCTAAGAAGGAAAGGAAGGAAGGAAGGAAGGCAGGCAGGCAGGCTATAATTTCTCTACACATTAGTGGTACAGCCTAAACAAATGTCATCTAGATTTTTTTCCACGTGAAATCTTAAATGCTCAATGTCACCGACTCTATTACATCACCTTTAGACATATCAGCAAAGCTGATATACAGAACACAATTGAATATGAAGATTTCCCTACATTCCCCAAAACTGAGCTGAATAATATAAATTCTAGCACTTCACTAGCACAGTTCCATATGATGTTCCATTCAACATCTTAAAGAGAGACTCAAAAAGTTCCAATAGTAAGAATAAAATTAAATTGCACAACTGTATACATGATATTGGCAACAATCTTTGGTGTCTTTCACACAGATAACATAATTAGAATGCATTCTGGATGATGTAGATTTATTTTAATTAAGTTGGTCGATTTTATCTTATTCTGTTTCCCATTTTAGTCAGGTTCTCATATCATATAATCCATGTCAAATTCTTCCATTGGGGCAGGGGAACAATTATTAAAAGACTACTAATACACATTAGTTTTAAACTCAGCTAACATTCTTCAGACTAGGAGTGGTCAGGTGAAGAAAGAATATGGAAAAGGAAGGAAAATATCCTGAGTGAGCACAAACTGTACTGGACAGATGAAATAATAACATATGCACAACTGTTTGAGACAGAAGCTGAGACTCTGGAGTTCTGCTCTTCATAATGTCATCATTATATAATTGAATAGGAATTACAGGGCAGTGTCAGAGGAGTATCTAACTAGGATCTGGATTTAAATCTACCTTCAGCCAGTCCTTATTTCTAACTTTATTCTACTTTATTTACTACTATGAGACTTAAAGTCTTATTTGGCTATAGAAATAAATATATTTTTATTTATTTATTTATTTTTTATTTATTTATTTATTTGATTTGCCAATTGTTTACAAGATAATAAGTATAAGTGTATACATAGTTGTGAATACATGAAATGGGTACATATAAGAAAAATAAAAGAATAAGAGAAACAATAGGACAGGGACGGTAGGCACGTTGGTGCGCTTATGCACGCCCCTTGAACATGAACATATTTCAAGACCTTCTGGAAATTAATTGCCACTATTGTGCTGCCTGCAGCTTCAGATTTTTATAATGTATTATTTATTAACAAAATGTTTTAATAAAATGCTCAAATAAAATCTAGGTGGCTACCAAGTAAAATTCAAGCATCCTTGAAAATATAACTTCCCCCATGTAATCAGCAGAAGGAAAACATGGAAGAGCCACAACCAAAACAACAGCAGGTAAAAGCTGCCCAGTGTCACCTTGCAACAAGATGGACAGGAAATAAAAGTAATTAATAAATAAAAGAAATCTGAGCCTGAGATAGAACTGTAATCTGAATGTCCCAAACAAAACCCTTCCTCTCTTTATCTTAATCAAAACTAGGAGGGTCTTGTCTGAGATGTTTACCTGAGTGACAGTTCTGACTCAGACTGAGGTTTCTTTTAGCTGCCATTGCCTTGGTTGCAGCTCTTTC